TTTTGCCGTCCTACCGTGGGGAAGACCATAGAGATAATATGTTCCGGAATACAACTCCCAAAACATCTCTCAAGAAATTGTTCTCAAAAGTTATAATAATGAAAACATAACTGAGAGAAAAATACTTTCATTTTCATAAACTATCTTCAAAGTTTATGAGAAATATGCACTTGGGAAAGACACAAAGAAATCAGTTTTTTCCTAAGATCAAGACATTAATAGACAAATATAAAATTGGAAACCTACCCTAATTTTGAAAGCCCATAAATGTATGTATAACTTAGATCTGTACTAATATCCCCTACAGAGAGATCTGAGAATGTAGCTGCTGTATGGTGCTTTGCTATTTTCTTTTTAAGTTCCTATAGTTGTATATGGTCATGATTTAGATTGTACTGTGATCCAACTAACATTTTCCCCAGCAAGGAACTGTGATCGAAAGCCTGCCTGTTTTCACATTCCTGTTTCCTGCAGTGCCTATCAGAACAGTAGTCTGACAGAAAGCAGCACAACAGAAAGTGAATACCTGTATCCAACTAGTAAGCTTTTCCGGCTGTATCTTCCCTTTCCCTAAATTGTTTCATTTGTAAAATGGAAACCATCACAGATATTTGCTGCAGTGGAAGGAACACTGTGCAAAAATTTATAAGGCTAGGGGTCTGGTTCCAGCTCTGCCACTGATTAGCCATGTCACCTTTTTCAGCTTTACTCCACTTATCTATAAAACAGAATCATCCAAAAGAAGTTAGAACTAAAAGAGACTTTAGAGATTAGGGATTCTGAACTTTTAAAAGTTAAGTCACAACCCCACTCAAAGGAGATTTCACATAGTGACATTTCCTGACATTTTTTTATGATGACAAGTATCATAATTAAGCTTTTTCAAGGCACATCTTATTCCTTATCATTCTGATACCTATGCACTGCTAATCAAACCCCTATGCTCAGGTAGTTGAGAGCAGTGATTTAAACCAGTCACAGTTGTTCCAGTCACCCTGCTGTGTTTTTGGTCCTGTCATTGCCTCTTACTCTTTCCTTACCTCCATGTACCTGTAGGGGTCTTTGGCCTTTCTCACTGAATTCACCCTTACATTTTCTTAGCTCACGGAGCTGTCTAATATTGCCTGTTGTCCCATGCTGGAAGCCTTTGCGAGTTTAAACTTTCTAATGACGACCTTCATATGTCTTTCCTTCTCCTGCTCTCCTGTCCTTACCAAATCAAGTACAGTCTCATTGGTATGACCTTCCCAGTGAGATTTTAACTATAGAAGTTCCCCCTTATCTGCAGAAGACACATTTCAAGATGCCCAATAAATTTTTGAAACTGTGCACAGTACCAAAACTTACTTTTCTCATACATACACAGCATAAATGTAATGCCTTTTCCAACATAATGAAGCACTTATCAAACTGTGGCCATCTTTTGCAGTTTGACAGCAAAACCAGCATGAATTTTTTTTCCTAATTAACAATTTCATATACAGAAGAGTCATTATTGCCTTAGATCTTAGCAACTTCAGCATACCATTTTTTTCCCCTTATTAAGTCAAAAACTTCCACCTTTTCACTTATGGAAGCACTTTACAGCTTCTTTCTAGCATATCCCAACTGCCAGCATCACTACTCTTATGCCTGGGGCCTCTAATAAGTAAAATAAGGGTTATCTGAACAAAAGCATTGGATATCAGAACAGTCAATCAAATAATCAAGACAGCTATTGAGTGGCTAATTGGTAGATAGTGTACTCAGCATAGATACGCTGAACAAAAGGGATGATTCACATCTAGGGCAAGACAGAGTAGTTCAACAAAAGATTTCTTCCTGCTGCTACTCAGAACAGAAACACAATTTAAAATTTATGATTTTTTTTTCTGGAATGTTCCATTTAATGTTTTCAGACTTCATATATAATTGAAACTGCAGAAACTGTAAATGAAACAACAGATAAGGGGGGCTACTATACCTTTATAGCCTTACTTCAATTCTTACTCATGTGTATCCTGACCTGTAGCTTAGATTCCTCAGCATTCCCAGAGGAAGTTCACAAGTCACTGCCAAAAATCTTTCTTTTACATGTCAAGGATCAACGCACTGTCCAAGAATCATCTTAATCACTTTCCCTGACCTCTGGAACAATTATGGTACCTCATTTTGTTGAGGGTCCATGGTATTCTGTTTAAACTTAGCAGTATACTTGTAATCCTTCAGTAACAAGGTTGATAAGGAGGTCATATGACCCAAAGATCCTAATACAGTGATGTTTTTGAACTTTCTACCACAATTCATACCAGGGTACATGTTTACATTACAGCTTGGCATATTATGTGTATAGGTACATTTATAATTGAAACTTTGCATAGCATAATACATGTTCTTACTACTTTTGATGCACCATAATGTTTTCTGTTCTGTGTTATTTCTTTTTTTCTGGCTTAAATTGATTTGACAACCATTAGTCTCAATTATAAAAGACACCATTGATAGCACATTACCCGTAGTAGGGATACTCTTGTACATACTTAAATTGACTGGCCTTTTGTGAATATCACCGAAGAAATATTACCTATTTGTGAACATATTCAATTAGTCTACTTTGGGTTAATACATTTTTAGGTTTTAATTTCACCAAAAAAACTTTTATATTATCAAAGTGATGCTGTTTGTTTTTAACTGTACATGAACGAACTAATTTGAGGGAGTAAATACAGTTCATTTTTAGCCATTTTTAACAAAGATGAAGAAATTTAGTTGCACAGTAATTATCACTATGACAAAAATCATGAGATTACTGTTTGACATATGATATCTTTACTATTTATTTATGCTGAATGTGA